ATTGACGAACTCTGGCTATTATTAAACTGACAATACAATAAGATGTATCAATGTAAATTAGTTTGGGCACTCACTCTCATTATGTAAAGCTGATGCTGAATATTGCCAGAATGTTAATCAATATACGTGCTCGCGACAGATTTATTCGTATAATAAGCAGAAATATTGCGCCGTTTTAATTCCATTTGCATAGTGGCAAAAGTGTGCCTGGATTTATCGGTCAATAAATAGTCATGAAAAATTAGTTTTAAATTTACAAAATTTTAAACACGGTTTTTCTTGGGCCAACGTTTTGGCTTTATCTAAAATATTCTCGGGTCCCTCAAAGTAGAATAGAATGGTTTTAGTCTTAAAAATAGTTAGTTCATAGTCCTAAATATCTTTAATATAAAAGAGAAGGAAAACCGATATTAAAGTAAAATCAAATAAAAGGGACAAAAGACAAACGCAATATTGTTTAGCTATAAAATTGATTGATTAGTTTAACATGTTATTAGCAGTAAAATTATTTACAGCGTCTATACAGGGTGATTCAAAATTGGCGTCATTCCTCTGGAGGTGTTGTCTGGCGCTGTTATAGGAGTACAGAAAAAATAGTAAAATAAATTAATTGTCATTAAGAATTGAGAAATTTGCAAAAAACTATATCAGAAATACGGCAGCAATGTTTTTCAAGGTAATCTGCCTAATTAACATTGCGCAAATACCTGTGGTTTCGTAATTATTTCAAACTCCGGTAACCATGGAATTATACAGACTGACAATAAGATAGACAAGGATAAACGGTAAATTCAAAAAGATTTGTTGACGAAATGTCAACCTGTTCTCATAACCTCGGATATTCTCCAGTAAACTCCGAAACCAGTAAGTTTGGAGTTTACTGGAGTATCCAGTAAACTCCAAACAAGCTAGTGCCTGTGTAATCTACTTATCACTCTTATCAAGCAGCTTCTCGCATTCAGTTAATTAACTCCTGCTCCATTTGTATCTCCTTGTGCTGTCTGTATCGTACAAATGTAGTAGGAACGTAGCCCTTCCTCGGTATTTATTTGGTGCTTGGAATGCTTTATAAGTGTCACTTATTGTGCTCTGAGTGCCTCTGGAAGGCTCTGATTCGGTTATGTCCAATACGTGTTCCTCTGTGCCTGGAACCCGAACATCTATCGTCCACTATCTTCCTGGAACCACCCTCCCCGCTCTTTGTTGGCGTGAGTTCTTGCAGCTTCTGCCATGTTACTGCAGCATTTCCCCTGAACTAATCGCGTATCTGCAAATTCGTGAAAGGAAATTCAAAGTAAGTCACAGTTTGACAAATTATTGTTATTATTGACGGGGGCTATCCAGCTGTAACTATCTGTTAATGACAAAAAACATCATTTCCGCTGTGCATTTTTATCAAAAAATTGTAGGAGATAACTTTTTTGATATCAAAAATTTTCGTAATTTGAAGCAAAGATGGTAATTTTTCTTTTTGAATGCGTAAGTATTCCAATATGCTACCAATTAAACATGGAACAATTTAAAAATAATGCTTAATAACAAAGTTGAAATTCGATCTTCAACTGTTAATATCTTCTAGAAATGTTTGAAAACATTTTTTTAAATATTTTTCTCGTACTCCCCAAGGCAGCCTCTATCACCCCTTAAAAGGAATGACGCCAATTTTGAATCACCCTGTGTATAGGAAAATTGTTTAATTTCTAGATAATCAAATATATAGTTCTGATTTCAAGAAAGAAAGTATTTTTAAACAAAAAATTTAGATCTCAGATTCCAACTATGAATAAATATGACTTGGTTAATGCAGGTGAAAATGTCGTCTTGTTTACATAAGCTATTCAGTTTTGATTATGGACATAACAAGAACAGAGAACGCACATTAAAATGCTTCACCATCAAATATTTTACAACAATAGGCTGAAAGGAAAATTAAAATCGGACAATTCAACGACTTGTGAACTATAGGAATGTGACTAGGTAAGGAATAAATTCGATAAAACATAGGGCAACATTTTTCGAAAAATCGGTTGCACCGGGCCATTTTCATTCCTTGACCCCTGTATACTATTGCATATTCAATTATTTGCTTTGAAAGCTAAAAAAATACTGCTACTAGGTAAATAATATTTACCTAGTATCGCTTCGGGGGCAAAATTACTTTGACGTCCGTATGTAGGGCCCGCGAAGAACTGATTACTTCGCTTTTACTGTGTATTAAAATTCTATTTACATATATTGAATCGCATTTTGGTGTCGACTAATATTTGAATAATTGTACTTTTACACCCAGTGTTTGTGTGGTGAAATAAGGTGACATGTATCACAAATTGTAAACCACTGATTTTTTATAACTAAATTGCACTAAAATGCGCTGTAATTATCTTATTGACAATTGACCATCAACTTTAAAGGCCTAAAGTAGTTTCATTTCCCTAAACGTGTTGTGAGGATTCCAGCAAAGGCATTAAAAATATTGTTAACAAAATAATTTTTTGTCATACAATTCTAAAGCTGCAGATCCAGTGTGAAACAAACACAGTGCCTTCCATTTCTTATAAAACTATAATATACAAACTGCTAGTTCTTTGCTTATAACACTGAATAACCAGACTTTCATCTACACGTAGTAGTCACAGATTACCTTGAATGAGTTTCAGTTTTCCTCACAAAAATATTGTGCAGCGTTTCGCAATTTGAAAGCGGCAGTTGCTTGTTCTTGGCACTAAGATACACACTTTTTCTTAGCATTTGCTCGAGGACTGTTTACTCTTTATGCTTTACATTATTTCACTTTGTACTGCTAATTCGTATTATTCCTCTATTTATTTAAACTAGAGAGTTTATCAATAATGTTAACTAAGTTGTTAGTGAGTATTTTCATTCACCAAACGAGAGCAATTCAAAACTAATATTGCGTATTTATTTAATAGAAGTTTCTTTGCACGGGGACTCTCAAGTCATAATTTATGCCGTGCAAATTAATTCAACAAACCAAGCCTCCATTACCCAACCTAAAATTTAGTGTCCATAACGTATCAAGAATGCGTTTCCGTTTGGCATAAATATTTAACAAAAGGCATTGTTTACTTTTGCACTGCACTTGGATGTACCTAAATTGTGGGAGAATTGGTTCACTTTAGTCCTTTACATAACCATCGCCAATTAAATCTGAATGCAGTTTTAGTGGATAAAACGTATGGAGTAATTATTTCATAAACTCGGCTTATTAACGTGAAGACATTAATCTTATAGTCAATAATAATTAGTGGGAAATTTATGTAAATAAAATACAATTTCTTTGCTTTTAAAAAATAGACCAATATAACATCTATATTGTCCAAGCCAATACAAACGAGATGTCGAATAAAATATTTCTCTCAAACCATTCGAAGCTTTCCTTTCAGCATTACAAGAGATTTACGGAAATCATGCAGATGTCGCAAGCTCTCCGTGTTTGAGTTGCTAATTTGAAATGTCTCGAAATTCCCTGTTCTGTTTAATTTCTTGATATTTTTCAAGCCAGTATAGTGAATACGCGACTAGATGAAAAAGTTTCGGAGCTCGAACTTGTAAATTAATTGTATGTCTTTCTAATTTTGCTCAGTGAAGTTTCTTAACAAGTTTACTAGAACTAGGGACGGTCCCGTATAATTTAATTTTAAAATGTCTATTTCTACAAGGCAGCGTATGGACAAATTGAATTATTTGTTGTGTTTCTCTTAGGAGATCATGCTTAATTGAAACGAAAGCTATAATTAGTTAGTTGAATTCGGATAAAAGTAAATGGTATATTTATTAGAGCGATTGGAAGTAGCCATGTAGGTCTTCAAGGGCACTAGTCAACAAATTACGGAATTTCTCCGCCAAATGTATATTAGTTTGGTTAACCACGTAAAAGTTCCATCATATAATAAGGTTTCTTGTAAACAATATTCGCATGTGCAGTGCAACATGTGCTACATTTATTTTTCTTTTGTTATCATTTGCCCTATTTGCTCATTGTTTCTTAATGTAATTTTGAAAAGTGTTACATTACTAAAGAGGGTTCATAGTTTTCCGTACTAGCGTCTTTACGAATTAATAAGTAACACAAGATACTCTTGAAGGAAGGAAAGCGTATTACAACTTAATATAAAATTTACCTCTGGGAAGCGTTCCTACGTCACAATAGTGGTAAGAAGAGGCACAATCAGGATGTGTGAATATTTTAAGACTTCTACATTGACGTTTTGGCAAAGCCTTTGCCACTGATCCCAAAAGGTTTTGATGAAATAAGAAATTGTCAACTAAACCTACACAGGTATATTGAGTTGCTTATTACGTGATAAAATGGGTTGATATATTTTGTTACATTCGCGATCACGATGCGAATTAGCAAAGACCAGATTTTGCTCATGAAGAAATTAATAGGGAACAAATTTAATGTAAAATGTACCACCTACAAGGGTTCTACGTTAGCCTGTGATGGAAGTGGTATGAAGGCATTCTATCGTGAGGCGTGAATAAGTTATACTTTATATTACGTTTTCCCCCCGAACTATTTTTCGAACTAACTGATAAAAAGTATAGCACAATTGCATGAAGTTAAACTATCGAAAAGTAAATATAACTAAGCTGTTTAACATTAACTAAGGTAAAAGTTATATTCTGGGTTCTTTTGTTTTATTTCAAAATATGTCATCTGCTGCGACGTGTTTACGACGAATTCAATATTGTGTCATATTCTTTTTATTTTGTTTTCGATTGTCAATTGTATCTTTTTTACTTTATGTTTTACCTATACATTATTGGCTCATAATACCTTAGAGATGAAACATATAATAATATCCATAACAACCGCAGGGCATTGTTAGCGGGCATTATAGTATAACGCCCGCTTATAATGCCCGCTCATAATGCCCGCTCTTAATGCCCGCTAAGTTAATTTTTATAAAATTGTTATTGTCTCGCGTTGACATTTTTCAAGTTTAAACCACAAAAAACAACTGAATAAAAACAAATACCCGTGAACTAAACTTTATCTCCAAAATAAAAATTACAATTTTCAAACGTCCCTGAAAATTAAGCTGAACCGACAACAGAATGGTCCGAGCTTCTAGGAGTGATCTTCTTCTGTGTCTCGCACATGTTTGATAACGAACATTCTTCCCTTAGTTCCTGATGTTAATGATATTCTATTGAAGAATTCCCTGCTACATGTTCCCGTGAAGATACTGAACTCGCAATCATTTCAGCAACCTTGTTTTTTGAAGAGGTACTTT